ATGGAAGGCGTTTATTAAAAAAGATGTTTTCAATATACCTTTAAACTTCGTAATCCATTACTGAAGGTGTTTGTTAATAACAGACGCCTTCAAAATTTTTTCACTAAAAATTTTAAGAATTATTAAAAGCGTCTTCTACTGTAAAATGCCTGTTATATACCATCACACAAATTCTAACACTATTATTGAAAGCCTATATCTAAGAAAGATGCCTTTAATAATTCTTATCATAGTTTATAAATAATTACTAAAGGCAGTTGCAGATAACAACGCTTTTAATAATTTCTCTAAAAAAATTTTTTCGGATTATTAAAAGCGTCTTTTATTATGAAACACCTTCAAAATACTACAATGGTAATGGAAGACGTTTATTAAAAAAGGTGCCTTCAATATACCTTTAAACTTAGTAATCTATTACTAAAAACGTTTGTTAATAACAGACGCCTTCAAAATTTTTTCACTAAATATTTTAAGAATTATTAAAGGCGTCTTTTATTATAAAATACCTTCTATATACTGCCACACAAATTCTAACACTGTTATTGAAGGCGTATATCCAAGAAAGATGCCTTTAATAATTCCTATCAAAGTTTGTATATAATTATTAAAGGTGATTGCAGATAACAATGCCTTCAATAATTTTCCAAAAAAATTTTTTAAATTATTAAAGATGTCTTTTATTATAAAACACCTTTAATAATTTATTATAAACTTTGGAAATCCATGATTATTGAAGGTAATTTTTTACTGAAAACACCTTTTATAATTATTAAGAAATAGAAAAGGTGTTTTTTTTTTTATAAAATATGCCTTTAATAAGTTGGTTGGACAATTTTAAAGACTTATAATTAAAGGCACCTTTTTTTTTTTGTAAAAACCACCTTCAATAATCTCCAATAAAATTTTTAGGTGATTAGCGAAGGCGTTGTTCCATGGAAATGCCTTTAATAATTAATTTTATATTCATTTCCTTGCCTTGAACATAAGAATTTGCAGAGGATTGGTACACAAAATGATTAAAAGCTACATTATTCAACCAAACAAATCAAACCCTTAAACACATTTCTAGCAGATCATTACTTTTTTTCTCCCATTTATCGTCATCGACCTTCAACAAATCACCGCTACGAACCTTTGTTTTAACCAGTAAGTCTTTTTTTTTAGTTAACTGTATTATTTACAATATTCAATAGAGAATTTTTGTTTTTTCTATTTCTTAATATTGACATATACGTTTATATATTTTCGTTAACATCACCATCAACATAGTCGTCCAAGATTCTATTCATATTGCAAGTATGCTATTTCTATGTAGTATGCATTAAATATTATGGTTTGCTAAACCTTGTTGATTGATATTGTATTACCGAATGGTATTGTATGATATTGGGGGTCTGAATAATATTTCATGCTGAATGGTTTGCTAAACCTTGTTGTCTGATATTATTTTACTGAATGGGTTTGAATGAAATTAGAGGGCTGAATGGTGTTTCTAAGTGATTTGCTGAAGGGTGTGTTGAGTACATTGCTGAATGGTGTGCTAAATGCTATTTTTGTACATAGTATGGTATTGGTTGTATTAAATTAAGTATAATGATCAATTTAGAGGGTCATATTGTGTAATTTGTATAATTATGATCATATTACAGGTAATATGAACTCCGAACAACATTATTCTCCTTCTAATGAACATGCAGAAGACAAAAGTGTAGGCCAAAAAAGAAAGGGAAGGGGCCCAAACAAACTAATTAAAATGACTAACATAAAAATTCATGTTGACTTTAATTAAAGTGGGCAGCCTATGTCGGAAAGAACTGCTAAGATGGCTACTCATATTGGAGCCATCGTCCGTCAGAGGATTTCAATTACGTACATCGATTGGTGATGAATTTTTTATGATCTAAAGGATGAGATATGCCAGTCTGTTGCCGTATGTTTATTCAACTATTTCGTAAAATTTATTATATGACCATTTAATTGAAATTCAATGTGTTGATACTATTTGTGTTAACTTATTTAGGAATGGTTCAACATCCCAATTGAGTGTAAAAAGATTGTGTTATAATCTGCTGGGAAAGCTTTCAGAGACTTTAAAAGTAGATTGACGACCTAATATATTTTATCGCTAGCTGGTGAATGTGATATTTTGGATGTTCCACCTATGGCCTATGCAGATGTTATAAGTGTTGAAGATTAGATAAATTTTGTTTACTATCGACTTTCAGAAGATTTCTTGATATGCAAACCCATTACTAAATTAGTCCAAGTTTATAAGTCTTTATGCAATATAACCTTTCATCTTCATATGTGATTGACGTAATTTCTTGATTTTATAAAAAATCAAAGAACAACATCAGGACATTCAGGACAAACAGCAATATCACTATCGGACAGCAAAAAAATGATATACAAATGTAAAGTATGAGCTTGTATGTATTCGCATACTTGTTTTATACTCATTAATGAATATTTATGAACATTTATTTCATACATTTTGATTCTTTTATTATGGTAATTTAATAGGAATCAGTGAGCTCAAACACAAAAGTTTCTAAATGAGATGTTTGGAAACAAAAATATCTATGGAAAGATGAATCCTTCGTAGATGAAGCAATTGAGGAAATGGCAAAAAAGATTGTATGTATAACTACTTTTTTGATATAATGTATGATTGGCATTGTGATTGTATGCATGGGTGTATACTAGCTTGTGTAGATTTGTTCTAAGAGCTCAACTTATTATTGTCTTTTAGGATGATTATGTTGCCAAAGTAAAATCTGATGAACTGGTAACCCAGTATGGTAAAGATCCTTTATCTTTAGCATTAGGCGCTAAAGAAAGGCCTGGTCGAGTTCGTGGGGTTGGTAAATTTGTCTTGCCATCAACGTATTTTGGAAAGTAACCAAAAACCCCACAAATGAGAAATGCACAATATGAAGCAATAATTGAACAACAACAGCAACAAATTAATGACCAGGAGCAATACCTTAATGACCAACAATAAAAACTTGTTGCTTTGGAGTCCATGTTGGTAGCAATGCAGCAGGTTATGCCAGTACCTCGACCTGATAGCATGTCCCCGTACGAGAAGCTTCCGTTACAAGTAAGGAAGCCATATCATCATTCGCTACTACCCAATAAGTATGATATTGTTTATAATTTGAATATTAATTTGTTTATTATATTGATTGATTTGGTTTTAATACTTATATTTCATTAAATACTGTAGGAGGATGTTCAGACTCAAAATCAAATAAGCTTCCATGGATGAGTTAACAAAATATTCACTGGAGAATTGTACTGGCGAAAACTTTATATCCATTGAGTCTGAGGAAGACTTATTTCATAAACAATCATTTTCTTTCATTGGTATGGATGAAGTGAAAGAATTTTATGAAAAGGATGAATTATCAGCTACTGAAATCGTTGCTTATATGAGGTTAGCTTATAAATACAAATATACACATTCAATATGTAGTAAGTTAGTACTATGGTGTAATACTAACCAACAGTGTTGATTGTTATCGTGTAGCTTCCTATATAAAAAGCTGAAGGGGAGATAGTTGGCAAACAGATTTAGATTAATTGACCCCAACTTCATTAGTGAGTAGAGTGGCACAGTCGTGTATCGTGCTAATTATGCGATCCTATGCATGAAAAGATTGGCTGATTATTATTTGCTCCTGTATAATGTGCAGTAAGCTATATTCTAACCTTAATTACTCCAACTTGCTCTATTCTATGATCTGATGTGTATTCTGAGTATATCATTGTTATTATTTTGCAATCATCATTAGGTGCTTATTGTGATTGACACCGAATCCTTAACGCCATACTTTCTTAATTTAGTTAATCCAATGGCGATGTTTAACCCCGATATTCAAACTTTTATAAAGAGGTATTACAGTACTTTATTATATTATATATGTTCTATTTATTCATAAGAAATTTTATTTATGTTCCCACTAATTTTTTTCTTTTCAATTTAGGGTAATATTTGCATTCAATAAGAAGATAAAAAAATCAAAATGGGTGTTATTACCGGTAAATGTCAAATTTATTCTTTTAATGTTAAATTTGTTTAGACAAATAAATCGACTCAATTTAATTTTTAGGTACCTCATCAACCTAGTAATACTAAATATGGATATTATGTCCTTCGTTTTATGTGGGAGATAATGTTACATGATTTTATGATCACACCATTCAAGGTTAGTATAAATTTCATAAACTTGTTATATATTCAAAAAAATAAAATGGTACATTATGTTCTCATTTTTTGACATTTACTTTTGATATTTTTTTTAGTGGGGGGGGTAAAGAAAGCTTCACGGAAGAAGAATTGGATGAAGTTCATAAAGAATGGTGTGATTATGTATTGTCATTTATCAATATTGATAAACCTTCAGGTTAGACATTGTTGGTTGAATGTAAATATATATGGAACAAATTGTTATAATATTTTTAACATGCCATGTTAAATGGAAACTTTAAGTTTGTACATTGAGGAGTATTAGTTTAATATTATTGTTATACTTAATATGAATACACTATGTGTACTTAATAAATTACTGAGTACGATTATTTTAGAAAAGCATATTAATATGGCAATGTTATCAGTTTTAATTTCGGATGTATGGTCAATTTTTTGAAATACAACAATGTTCATTATGCAAATTCCAAAACGTAATTTATAGTATCAGATATATAAACCAAATATTTTCTAGGCATAAATATATAACTGACAGCAAACGTTTTTCTAGACATAAACTTACAACTAACTTCACATATAAAGTATCAATTATGTTTTTTTGATGCGATTAATGAAGGCGTTTTTAGTAAGAAAACGTCTTCAATCACTCCTAACAGAAAAACATTGAAGGCGTTTTTTACCAAAATCGCCTTCAATAATCCCCCTAGAAAATTATTGTTTGGAATATTAAAGGTATTTTGGGTAAAAAACACCTTCAATAATACCAACTGAAAATTAATCGAATGGATTATGAAGGGCATTTTCCTACGGGTAATGACTTCAATAATCCCTAACAAAATGTTTATGAAGGGGTTTTTGGATATAGCCACATTCAATAATTCGATCATTAAAATTTATTGTTGGGAATATTAAAGGTGTTTCAAGCTAAAAATGCCTTCGACCATCCCATCTAAGTTTTGTCTATAGAATATTGAAGGCGTTTCTTACAAAATCGCCTTTAAAAAAAAAAAAAAAGTTTATTGATGGGATTATAGAATGCGAGTTCGACCAAAAACGCCTTCAAGAATCGACTTCATATTTTTTCTATCAATTATTAAGGGCATCTCTCCATAAAAAATACCTTAAGTATTCTATGAAACATTTTTTAAAGCAATTGGTGAAAGCGTTTTTATCAAGAAAACATCTAAAATAATCAATAACAAATAATCTGTGCCTAAACCCAAAAAAAGGCTAAAGGACAAATCGAACCAACAACCTTATGGTAAATATCCATACGATTTAAACAATTTGATAAGCTTAATATTGAATGTATTTATGAAGAAAATAAATTCAATAAGCCTAGGAAAATTTTTGGTCCAAATATTAAAGGCATTTCTTGTAGACAACGCCTTCATTAATCTTATACAATTTTTTATGATGTGATTATTGAAGGTGTTTTCTGTCAAAAATACACCATAACTATGCACCAAAATTTTTAATAAAAAATATTCAAGGCGTTTTAGTTAAGAAACGCTTCTAATATCAAGTCTTGGGTGGCGTTCATAAGTAACAACGATGTTATTTGAATATTTAGTGACGTTAGGATAATAAACGCCTAAAGTTTTATAAAAACACGGAAGCTAACGACGTTAGTAAGTGAAAGGCTGCTATAAAACTGCCGCTACAAAATTGCCGCTAATACACCATTTTGCAGTAGTCTCACATCCAACTGAAGACGTATCTAATATCATTTGTGGAGACTCGCACCCAACTTGCGAGATAGTATCTATTTTGACCCGAAAGTCTCATTGTTTTATCCTACAAAAAGTGTCTCACAGATTTTGAGTTTAAGCTTCTATTTATATATTATAGTAGATACTCAAAATATCCCGATGAGAGATTAAGGCATTACAAAGCAAACTCGGTATTTCTCCGGTTAGCTGGTTGCCTAACATATGAACAATTGTAAGCGTAGAAGAACCAGATAAATTGGAAGGAAGTTCACCATTGATGGAGTTATTGGAGAATTCTAATATTTCCAATCTTCTTAAACGTCCAATTTCTTGAGGAATTTCGTTGTTGAAGCAGTTGCCTGCAATATTCAACACTCTGAGAAAACTCAAATTTCCAATGTAAGGCGATACAGACCCCGCTAGTTTCTGTAATTGCAATTCCAGTTTGGTTACTCTATAATGTCTGCGACCGCATGTAACACCATATCATTGGTGGAAGTGGAGGGAACTATTCCAGGAATGCATACTCCTCAGCTGATCACCAGTTGGCTTTAAACTCGGGTAAAGTTTGCTGATCTGTGTCATTTCTACCAACTATAGAGGTTGCTAAACCGAGCAAATTAAGGCCCTGCAGTTTGAAGTATGAGAGAAGAATTATACTTCAACATAAACAAGGGAAAAAGAGCTGGACACTTTTGAAATGCTTGATCGATAGCTCCATCAACCCGAACCAATATTGTAATTGATGAGATTGGCTTGTATTTGAGAGTGCTTGGTTTTTCAACAAGAACTAGAGTGCAATATGTGAGAAGTTTTGGAGTCTGATTTTGTCCTGCAGTATCTGCCGACAATTGGTTCAAATTTTCTGACTTTGAAAGTCAAGTGGCTAGAAGCTGCTGCCGGCCCCTCCTTTAGTTGGAAGCATGTACTTGGGGTTGGGCATAAGTGAGCCATACTTACTATAATTTTTTTCATTTTTATTTTGGATTCATGTTTTTGGTTTCTTCTTTTCATTTTATATAGAGTTTAGGGTTTATTTACAAATATATCACAATCATTGAAATATTAAATATATTAATAAACATATATTAATATTAATTCTTGATCATTGTAATAGTAGTAGTAATATTTTAATTCTTAATGGCATGTGTCAATATCGCAAATAATACGGTATTATTATCTTAAGGTAATTAAAACAAAATAACAATGCCCTATTTTCTAATTTTCACCACAAATAATTACACTTAAAACTAAAAGGCAGCAATCCTCCATAAAATGGCTTACTGGTAAGCATATGTGATGCGTCCAGGGAACATTGATAACTCCATTTCCTAGAGTAACGGACTGCATAAACTCAGGTTATGACAGCAGCAACGTGAACAGGAGCTTTACTCCACTTCAATATCATGTTTAAGTAAAAGAACTCCTGAATATAAATGTCAGGCTTCTGAATTTGGAAATTTTCTTTTGTTACTGCCCCTATATTGGTAAAAAAACAGCATTCCATCATTTGAACAAGTTGGCCACATTCTATCACCCTAAACCAGCTACTTGAATCAACAACATACTCCGGACAAAGAAGCATATCAGAGGTTCATTCTGCTTCTGTTCCCAAGCCATTGTGGATATCAGAAGAATCCACAGGCAATCTCATCTGATGTTTCTGAAAACATGACTACATATTCTATATGGTGTTAAGCTCAATGGTCCTCGCGTGTAAGACACTGACTCAATTAGCAACAGAGGAATTTGAAACTTGATTGCTTTTGCAATTCTATCGATTACCTGATGTAAATGCTGCGACCACCTATAAAAAAAAAAAAAAATTGAATATAAGATAATTAGAGACGGAATATTGAGTCCAAATTTTTTTATAAATAAATTAAATCAAGAAAATCAGATATATTAATTAACAATATTTAGTATTTATTACAGTTTTATGGACCTAAATTATAATTCAAACCCAAATAAAGGCCCAAAGAAATTGATCAAACCCAAAGAAAGGCCCAATAAATTGATCAAACCCAAATAAAGAGTTATCTTATCGCCTTTCATTTTAGCCTTCCTTCGGACCGAGACTTCAGACTTCCAACTTCCATAGCTATTTTTTTTTTCTCATTAAAAATTAAATCTTTGACGTGTCCGTACTAGATCTTGAAGAGAATGTCAACGTTCCCCGACTCGTTCACTCAACTCGGCGACAACTCGGTCGACTCTTTCGACTCAGTTCCACACTAGGAAGACGAAGACAGCGTTACGACGCGTTTGAGAAATTCGACTCTTTCGCAGCCGCCTAGTCGGACCATGCCACCATTTTGGCTACGCCGGCGGAGATGGAACCCGAGGAAGGAGTTGCTCCCAGGGAATGGAGAAGGTTTTTGAAATTTTTTTTTTATAATTTCGTTTTTTGATGTTTCTATTTTTGGTTACTGAGAAATTTTGAGGAAATTAAAAAGTAGAAATTAAGTTATTAAGTAGGCACTTAGCTATTTTAGAAATATGAAATAAAGAGATACAGTGAAAAAGTTTTAATTTTTGGCAATTTTTTAAATATGTTTAGTAAAGCCATAGTAGGTTACTAGATTTTTATCAGGGAAATATTCAGAATTTATGGGTCAATTTCGGTAATTAAAAGGAAATGTTTTAGGGTTTTATTTTTCTTTGAATTTCTTCATTTTCAGAGATTGAATTCCGAGAACATTTGGGAATTATAATTTCTCTATTTTTGTAAAAATTGTTTGCTAAAATTTATAAAATTCTTTTTCATAAATTAGATTCAATTTTGTGAGTAATGTTTTTGTTTTGTTAATGAAAATTCGTAAGATGTTGCAAATCTTATCGGATTCAGTGATACTCATATCGGGCATTTTTACTGTTGTAATTGCTTAGGGAAAAGGCGATTCGAAGGAGAAGAGGGAGAAGGAGTTGTTGAGCCAAATAGTCGACGAAGCTGATGAATACAAAGTTGAGTTTTATAGAAAGAGGGAAGTCACCTGTGAAAACAACAAAGCCAATAACAGAGAAAGGGAGAAGGTACTTTTCACTTCAAGCCATATGCTAATGCTTTTACCAATTTGTTACTTGTCTGAAACAAAACGAAGAAAGAACGTTGTTTTAATTATTCCGGTTTCTAATTATGTGCTTAAAGTTGTATGCAGACATTGATATTATGCTTTTCATCATCTTTACTCATGCCTTAAAATATGCCTTAAGTTTTCCGAAAGTGTGTTCTCTGAAACATGATTTATTTGCACGAGAGTGTGCTATATCTTCCTAGATTAAAATTTTCATCTTATAGAAATTCCTTATGAAGTTTTTTCATTGATCTGTCAAATAATTTATGACACTGAAGAATGAAAGGACAAAGGTAATGGTGGTATGTAGAATTAAACATTGGTGCAGTGCTGATATTCAGAACAAGGAAACAGTTATGGTTCTATCTCAACATGCACATGTACAATGTTGAATTTCTAGTATTAATATTTGTGAGCTAAGTAAGCATCATAGACATTATAAAATTTGTTCACCTAGGTGTCATTGGTGTCTCTTTATCTAACTAGTTTATCAAGGGGGAATGTTACTTGGCTTATTTTTTCAACTAAATGGATTGATTGAATTGTCTTATTTTTTTCTAAAAAGTAAAAGAAATTTTATATTAACCAGCTGAAAAAGGTGTAGCAGAACAAATTTATTTGCATTATTCTGATTTCTGATTTGATGACGATTCACAAGAAAGGGAAATTCGTACAAATTACATACACCAATAATTGGTGGACAAACTTGCTCTTTATTTTCTCTTCTCCAACTTGAGTGCTTGTTGGAAAAGTTTTGCTTCTGCAAATACCAAATACAATGCGAAATAAAGGACTGGCAGTACTTTGAAGCACCTAAGCCTCTCATGTCCATTTATATGGCTCCTCAGATACCTGAACCATATGAAAACAAGGAAATCTCTAAATTAAACCATCATATTTACTTCAACATAATGTAACCAAAAAACAATTTACTTGTTCAAATCATCTGAACACAATATTTATCTCAAAAGAAGTGGAAATGTGCCTTAAGTCATGTAATGGTTTGAGTATTTTGTTAAGAATAATGCAAATTGTTTACCTGCTGATTGAGCAGCATCAAAAGTTTGGCCCTCACAATGCAATCGAGTAGGGTGAAGCTTGTCTCTAATGGAACAAAGCTTGGTAACGACATCAGTCATGTCCATCCGCGCAGATGGTGATTCAGCAGAGCAAATGACTCCTATTTCCAATATTGAATTCAAGAATCGAAGATGTCTGTCATTTCCTTCGTTGACTAGCTCTTCAAGAAGAATGGGATCTATAATCTCAATCAGTTGTTCAGGCAAAGCTGCCGCAACAAAGTTGTGAAGGCTGAAACCTTCTTTGAACATCTCATTAGTCGGCCTTTTTACCGTAAACATCTCTAGCAAAAGGATGCCAAAGCTATACACATCACCTTTTGTTGACAACTCGCTTCCCATGCCATATTCTACAATTGACTCATCACAAATTATATAAATTATAGCATTAATTGCAGAGGAGATCGTTTGAAAAATATAAAGATATAGCCTCTGACATCCAAGCTTTAAACATGTAAAATTACATTCTAATTTGAAGTAATGTAGTCATTTTTTGTTAACCAAAAAGATACTTCCACATTATATGTTTTGATTTTGAATTATGTTGTGCTAAGAGAAAAGTATTAAAAGTGGAAGAAATGAATGAAATGTACTTACCTGGTGGAGCATAACCAATAGTTCCTCTTAATCCGAGGGAGCTTGACTGAGTGGTAGAATTGTTAAGCCTGTCAGCAGCAAGGATTTTTGCTAAGCCAAAGTCACTTATAAGGCCAACCATTTCATCATCAAGTAGAATATTGCTTGGCTTGAGGTCACAATGAATAATTGGTGTATCGCAATGATGGTGCAGATACTCTAGTGCATGAGCAACATCTACCGCCACATTTACTCTCTGGAAAAAATTTAGGTTTCTCATTGTCTCCTGTTCATTCATGCCAATAGATGGATGCAGCCAATCCTCCAAGCTTCCGTTTACCATGAACTCAAAAACCAATGCTTTAAAATCATTGCCTTGATAATCTACACCTGAAATTGCTGTTAATATCTTGACAAGATTCCGATGTCTAATGTTCCTCAAGGCCTCACATTCAGCTAAAAAGCTTCTGGAAGCTCCATGAGTAAGAAGATTAAACACCTTAACGGCAATAATTACTCCACTCTGTTCAAGGATTCCTTTATATACAGAACCGAAGCTGCCTGAGCCAACCAAATTTTGCAAGGAAAATCCATCGGTAGCCCTTAGGATGCTTTGGTATGATAATTGTAAATGTGAATTTTCTGCCCAAGTTGCTGTTGGTTGGTCTTTCTTCTTTCTAAACCACAAAATGAGGAGAAATGAGAATACCAAAGTCCCTCCTAAAATCACAAAAACAATGGCAATTTTTAAATTGAGAGAAGTGTTTGATCTTTTGATGGATTTTTTCGAGTTGCATCTGGACAAGTGCAACTCGGGGATGCCTCCACAAAGCTTACTATTTCCCTCAACAAATGTAGCAGTTGCATTCTTAAAGACTCCTTCAATTGGTATCATGCCCTCAAAATCATTGAAAGATAGATTTAAATACTGTAATGACCCAAAGCTCACAAGAAATTCTGGAATCTCACCAGTAAGATTATTGTCAGATATGTCTAACGCCATAAGACCTCTCAATGAACTCAAAGATGAAGGAATGGGCCCTTCGAACAAATTGCCATCCAAGAACAGGTACTCCAGTCTTACACAGCTACCGAGATTGTTTGGAAGCAAACCAGATAACCTGTTGTGAGAAACATCCAAACTACCTAAATTTTTCAGATTTCCGACTTCTGCGGGAAGCAGACCAGTTAAATAGTTGGATGATAAGTCTATCAAAATGGACAAGGATGAGAGTCCAATTACTTCAAGGGGTATTGATCCAGTAAGATTGTTATGAGAAAGACCCAACGCCTCCAAATTTTCACAGTTACCTAGACTTGAAGGAATGTTGCCCTGAAGATTGTTACTCGTTAAATCAAGTTTGGTTAACATTGTCAAATTTCCTATAGAAGGGGGAATAGGCCCAGAGAGAAAATAATTATAATCGGCAAAAAGTATCTTTAGCTTCTGAAGCCTACCAATCACAGGGGGAATGGAGCCTGATAGCTGATTTTGTGATGTCGCTAGCACCTCCAAATTGATGAGATTTCCAATCCCAGCAGGTATTCTTCCCCATATTTTGTTATCTTGTATTATTAAGGTCGAAAGAGTGATAGACAAATTACCAATGCACTTAGGCAATTCCCCTCCAAAATTATTTTCGCTTAACTCTAGATATTCTAATTTGGTAGTATTGGTTAAAGAACAAAGAAAGTTTAAATCACTTGCTCCCCCATTTCCAAAATGATTGCTGCCTATGAGAAATCTAGAGAGCTTATGCAGCTTTTCAAATGAAGGCAAGTTTCCATTAAGTTGGTTTAGTGGAACTTGAAGAAGCACGAGATTTGAGGCATTGGATATTGAAACAGGGAATTGT